CTGGAAACCAACATACCCAAGGGGTTCACTTGTGAACCGTCTGATGGAGACTGTCCAGGTTCTGGACCCCACGGCTGACCGTTAACATAATCTTGACCTAACCCTAACCTCAAACCCTACCTCAAACTTAACTCTAATGCCGTAAATGCAAATGAGTTGCGGCGGTTCCTGTTCCCATGTCCTCTTTAGACGGTCATGCAAGTCACTATTACCCTTCGCAGAGATGACGCGGTCTTTTACGCCATCGTCTCTTCCATCCCTGGAGACAATGTCTTATTAGCTACGTGGCCCCCAAGATGGGCCATTAGTTTTATCACACCTTCATCGATTTACCCGCCCAGTCTACTGAAAAGTACGGAATTCACAAATTCTGATACAGTAAGCCGACAGCCGCAACTTACTCTATCTTTGGAAACATTGACACTAAGCGCAACAATGATTCCCTCGACTTGATATTTGCTATCGACGGACGATTCTAAATGTATCCCAAGCCATGAGCTACAAAAGGCAGAGTCAGTATGCGGGCAGTGCGTCAATATTAGGGGGCAACACAGCGATGCCGGTTGTTCGCTAATATACTCTAAAAGCAGACTTTGGAGTGTACCAGATTTTGCGTCAGGTTCAATATGTATTAACACGAAGTCATCTTTTAGCAAACCTGTATGCAGCCCAATGCGTAGTCGAAGGGGGACGTTCGGCATGTGTCGAATTTTGAAGGTGCCGCAGCCACTGAGCAAATCCAAGGACATCATGGCTATTTCTCCTGCGTGACGACTACCATTTCGTATGGGCAGCCCCGAGGCCACCATGTAGGCGTCTCCAATGGTTTCGACCTGAAAGAAATGCACGCCATATTCAATGACATATAGTATTATGTTAGATGGTAACGCTGGGGTGCTTAAGCTGCTAATTTGCACTCCTGCAATGATTGTTTGAAGAACATGAATGATTTGTAATTATTATCAAGAATAATAATAGTAGGCACGTGAGGACCTAGTACGTGACATTCCTCAGACATTCATCAACTCAGACAAAATATTGGCGTACCTTAATCTGGAAAAATCTTGAAGGAGACAAATTCGCGAATTACTAATCTCTAATAAAACTGCTAAAGCTGGTCTTTCCAGCTGCTAAGCTATCATCGGAGCCGAATGATATTTTAAATTTAGATGTTATCAGAAGTCAGTTATTTAGGCATTGCTTACTTTGTAGACGTCGTAGTTATCAATGGTTGCATCAAACATTGTGTAGAGGTCATTCAGCAGACCAACCACTTGCAGTGGAGTTGAGAGAGCTGAGATGGTCGTGAATCCGACAATGTCGCTAAAGTAGATGGACACCTCGTCGAAGGTTTCGGGTGCAACCGAATTTCCAGACTTCAATGATTCGGCCACCACACTGGAAGGTTAGGAAAGGAAAGGCAATTCAGTAGTTGGTTGCAACATTTGGATAATACAGTCTGTTAGGCATTGGATGGTCGCAGTTTTAAATTTGGTTCTCTTCTAAATTGAGATGGGCGTCGTATAGGATAAAAATAAGTTCGATGTTGTAACTTACCATACTTACAGCCTAGGTATTAGGTAAAAGGGCCGGACACGCGTTTCGCCGGTATTCTGCCGCAGCCTGACACAGCTGCGAGGGGTCCGGCTCATTAGTGGGTGCCCCAGCTTTGCCTTTCTGCTTTCTGGTTGATACACCGGTTTTAAAAGTTGATTGATGTTAATAAATACCTGCTCCCTATACGTCATAATCGCTGTCTTTAAGGTAACCACTGATGATAAACTGTGTTCCACCTCTCTGAAATGGCTTCGTCGTCAGACGAATCACTCCATTTGGAGACTCTCAAGTCTACCTACATACAATAAACTCGGTCTTTCAGACAAATTCTTTACGTATACTTCGAGACAGTCTAAGTCGAAATCGTACGTGGTCTCCGGCTGCAGAGTTGGGCTCACCAAATTGCAGCATCTAGGGCCAAAACGTCAGGTAAACTGACTGAAGTTTCACTGTAGCCCCCGAATCCGCCATTGTTGTTGAAAAATACTACTTATATTGTGTCAGTATGTACTGAAAACCGTTTCTATCTTTTCACTTCGTTAGCGGCGGGTTCCTCATCAACGAAAAAGTATTAACGTTCCACCAGGCGTCGTCGGCATATTTCTAACACTTAAAATAGGTTCCTATTACAATTTTGGGCACTCTGTAGCGCCATTCAGTGCACAATACATAACAAGTGTTACTGTAGATATTTAGGACGGTTAAACTATAGTGTACACATCGTTATGAAATTCCTAGTTCCTGCCGTTCACTTTCCAAATTTGCGACATCCAATAAATCCAGGTGTCGCTTTTGCCGTATGAATATGAACGCAAAACAAATTTACCACATTCAGAGTCAAGAATCCACACTAATTGTCTGCAGTATTTAGCAACTGTGCATGCATTCGGGGCTGGTGCATAATGCCAACAGCGCTCCAAAACGTTCTATGTGAAGACGTCAACCTGAATCGTCCGGCGATGTGTCCGTCTACAGGTAATTACAAAGTTTTAGGCGTAGCAGTGGAAATAAAAACATGAAGAAGTGGAACCGGGTGGAGATGCTTAGATCTGCTAACGATCACTCGCTTTTACGCAATAATTTTACGATGCCATCCTGATTACCACAAATAAAAGGCTTTCTGATTGTGTTAAAAAATTTTTTTGCGTTCTACTGCTTACGGTGGAAGGAGTCGAGCTATGAGATATTCCTTTTTGCGTTTCTCCGACTCCAGCTCTGCAGTACGTACACTGACTTGTTCCTCAAGCTCTGTCGAATACTTCTCCATCATTTTAAACATGTGGTCGACAATGTTGGTTTTTCTAATGTGAGAAGAAGAAAAGGGCATATATGTTACTGCAGATAGTGACAGCAAACCACGTAGGACATTGGCCAGTTGGTAAAATGTGGATTCAGTGGTTTACCTCGAAGTATACTTCGTTTAAATACGTGGGGTACATGGGCGCGCTCATCTTTAAATTAAGTACTTACAGAGAGGCCTATTAAGAGCTGTTTTATCGGAGCAAGAACATATTTTGTTGATGTTGTGATATCTGCTGTGGATCGGGTAACAAACGTAACGTACCTGCCATCTGCAGAAAAGTCCTTCTCCAGAAAGCATCTCTGACAACGGACTAGGAACATCACGAAAAAAAAGTGTCCACTGCCATTTCAAAGACGCCCTGAAGCTCAACAGTAACCAGCATTCAGAGTAAAAACAGTTATTTTACCAAGGAAATATCCCACTCCATTACAGAAATTAATGCACTGACATTTGTGTTTGATTATTTTCTTTTCCAAAGTCCATGACTGCTAACTTACTACAACCTATAATGGCTGCAAATTACTTGTAGTGCGGATATTTTCGAAAACGGCTTCGGATAGGACATGAAGAAAGGAATTACATGTGGTCTGTACGCCAAATTTCAGAGAGATAAGGCTTGGATATAAAGCTAAGAGTTAGTATGAGTCAGCGTTGGAGTGAAGGTCAGAATTTGGGCTTAACTTATGGTTGACTTTTCGGTTAGGATTGAAGTGTGTGTCAGAAGGACGCTTAAGGTCACGGTTAAGACACGGGATATGCACACTTCCTGGAATTTAGCGCAGATATTTTCCCAAATTACGTCCGCGCGTTTGAATAGAACGAAGTTTAACACAATCGTACATGTCTTATTTTAAGTTGCTTTAATGTATTATGGTGGACTTTTTAAAATCAGCCGACATTTTTTTTCTGATCTCCATTTCCGCCATGAAGTTTTGTGTATACCTATGCATCCGTGGCTCAATTTTCCTTATTATATACGGCTTCTTGACCCTCTTTGTTTATTCAAACTGCAGTCCTGAGGTCATCTGCATGCTACCTTAGCACCATCTTATAAAGATGATAAATCTGAATGAATGCAGGTGTTTCACCGATCTAGTCAAGGAACAATTAAGTTC